TATATAAAGAAATTGATTACATTCCGTTTCCAAGTTACGAAAAGATTTAAATTTATTGTTCTAATTTAAAGCTATTTTTTATGTATCCGGAACTTGGGCATTATCGGAAAAATATTATTTTCTTAACAAACAGTTTGTAATTCTCATAGTTTATTTGAGTAATATATATGCCTAATGCTGTTCATTATTATTTCTAAGTTTTCATAAATCCTTTCACGCCTGTATGCGAGTAAAGATCAATCTTTTACAAACTTAGTCATCTTGCATGCAGCACTCGCAGCACTGTATATTTACGTAGAGTAACCTGACGCAATTATCTGAGCACACCTGATGTTAGGAGTAGGTGTCGTTGAATTCATACCTTTAAGCATTAAAATCCGGCCAATTTACACGAACCACAAAAACATCGTACGCATCCTCGTTTGCTTACTTGCATTTTCAACACCAGTACGTATATTTAAATAACACAGAAATCTGAATCACCTTCAGACCAGCCTCCTAACTTCGGCTTTCCCATAGGCATTTAAAATTATTTTAGCCACGGATAATATGTGACTTGCAACGCTGGCCTTAAGGTTGAACAGATACTGCCAGCAAGCCTAAATGAAATGAGAGTTCACGTTCTCATGACGTTGGTGGTCAGAGATGAGAGGCCACCGATGATCGTCTATGGCTTCCCTCACGCTTTGACGTTCCGTAGAAAACTCCAATAGGTATTTGCCGTTATTCTGTTGTAACTAATGGATTTCTACTCAAATATTAATTTCAGCTTTCAAACCGTACCAAAAAACTTTGTTCCCACTGATTTACTTCAAGTTTGCACATTTATTTCCGCGGACATTGAACAGGAAATTATATAACCTGCAGATTATATATATACAGTTCTGCGAATCCTGCAAACAACTTTCGGGACGAAATTTAACTTGGTAGTTTAGCGTATATCTGGACAGATTATTTTGATCAACTGAGTGGATTTAATAATAAGAGGGGCTTTGGTTTGGAGAACTGCCCTCTTATTTAAAGTTATTGGGGG